GGCCTGCCATGTCAGACAGGAGGTGATTTTTTTACCGACATAGTTATACTAGTACAAGCCCTCGTGTAGATGCAGTTACACTGCTATAAAGGTACCTTTTACCAGTATAGCTTCTTCCCCTTCCCATACGGGAAAAACTATTCTGGGATATAGCACCTGTATCCGGATGTAACTGTACACGCTAGGATGGGCTGCTTTAACGATGCTGGTGTAGTTAAAGCAGTACAACTTTCTAGTGTAGACGAGGCCTGAACTCCCCTGTGCTCCCTGGAGGGGGTCCCTGTGAGTCAGGAGCAAGGCAGATTGGTGGGAGAAGCTGGTGCTGACACTGACAGTGGGTAAACAGTCTCCATGCCCTTCAATCCAGCCCGCGCTACCCTCCGATGCACATACAGATAAAAGGAAAGCAAGGCCAGTGGGGATCTCGGCCGCAGCGCGTGGGGTATGCCAGCATGCAGCACAGCTTGTTCTCAGACTCACAGCCAGCCTCTTCTCCACGGCACGTACTGACGTGCAAGGCTCCTAGGCCTCTGCAACAAGCCAAACACAGAATCAGTTCCCATTTACACACAGGCTTGCTTCACACTGAGAGAACGCCCTGTTGGGGGGCAGCACAGGGAAAGGGGACTGAACTAGCACTGCACGCAGTGTGTGCCTCCACGCCCCGTCAAGGCGGTGACCCATACGTTCCATGATCAACACTTCCTCAAGGCTAACCTAAATCTGACAGTCTCATGGAAAAAAGAAGGCTCTGACAGTAGAACAGGGGCTTTTTTGCTCTTGCCCAGCTGCAGAACCACAAAGCACTCAACTGCACGGTCCCTTCTCTAAGGCACTGACTCAACTCGAGTCAGTGGCCATGTGTGAGTCCTCCTACCGCTTGTGGCAGGAAAGGGGAGGGGCCTGAGTCAGGATGCAGCCCCCACTGCTCACTCGCTCTGGGCTGGAGCCATTGTCTGTGAGGCACCCGATGAAGCAACACCACTTAGCTCAGCTGTTTTGCAAAAGCACCAGGGACGGTTGGCGTGAGATTTGAATTCAGCAAAGTGATGCCATCCTAACCCAGCATTAGACAGGTGCACAAGGGGGTCGGGGCTCCTAATAGGCAGCAGGCTTCAGCTGAACCAAGGCCCAGCTTTATCTCGGTTTGTTGCAGTGGTATTTTCTCATTGCTTTAATTCAGAGTATCCCAGTACCAAGGTCAGAGGTTGCCACGTCAGGTACACACATGCAGTGTGACACAGCCGGCTTATACATTTTTGGCCTGTCATCAGCAGAGGCGTCATGTTGTAGAGCAGGGTGAGGACAGTCCGTCGTTGTGGGGTGGATTCTGATCCCCTCATTCACACTGAATAGCCCTTCACTCCTCCAGCAGCCCCACTGACTGCAGGCTGGTGGAGCCAACCTCTGTTCAGCATGAGTGAGGGGAAGCTCTGGCTGTGATGAGATGAGATCGGGAATACTGTGTCCTTGCGCAGGCACCAAAGGAGGAGACCAATGAGCGAGAGGGGGTGCAAAGGTGAACCAGGAAATGGATAAAGGGACTAAGGAATTGAGTTGTGAGAAAGGATTAAAAGAGCGAAGGGCCAGATCACAAGCCCCGCTCCACTGGTGCCACTCTGAGGTAACTCCGCAGTGGAGTTGCTTCAGGCTGGATCGTGCCTTACAGGAAGTTCCCTGGAGAGAGGGTGGGAATTCTCTGCTGTAAATAGGAATGGGCTACGTTGGCAAGGGAATGAGGGTGAGTCTATACTCTACAAGTTTCACTGGCATAATTCCATCCCTTAGGAGTGGGATATTTTTACCAACCTAGTTATGCCAGTAAAGGCCCTACTACTAATGCAGTTACACTGGTATAAGGTGCTGTATACTGTAGAGTGAGCTTTGCTTTGCCAAACTGGATTAAGCTACACTCGCATAAGCACCTTCATACTAGTATAACTGTGCCCACACTAGGGGGCTTTGCCACTTTAAGAGTCGTTACACAAGACCTAAGGTACTTGACCACCCCCACTTGAGGTAGGGCACTGCTATTGTCCCCATTGTGCAGATGGAGAACTGAGCACAGAGAAGTTAAGTGACTTGCCCAGAGTCAGAGAGAGAATCTGTGACAGAGCCGGGACTCAAACGCAGGTTGCCAGAGTTACAGGCTAGTGACCACTCTTCCTCCCCACAAGTCTGCCTTTGCGGAGCACCTCTCAGACAAGGGTGCTCCCCTAAGGGCAGGTGACCTTGCCAGCCCTTGTTACACTCCTCAGAGTTGTGAGCACCTGGGCACATCCCAAAGATGGGGACATCTGGCCTCCCTGTTTTGTCATTAGCGTCAATGAGAGCAGTGTACCCGCTGGCCAAGCAAGGTGCCACTTTCTCCCCTGCCTCATGCTAATGCCTGGCTTTGGCCTAGGAGACGCTCCCCCTGCTGAGATCCCTGCCCAGCTCTCAGGCCCAGGGGGACGGGGAAGGCCGTGTAACACGTCACACCTTGTTTAATACACCTCCCAGCCTCTGAGTGCAGCTATAGCATAGGTCACACAGGAGAGTCGGAGGGAAGATGACTCCATCCCATTTCGGAACCTACAGGGATGAATCTTTGCCCACTACAGGAGAGATCACAATGGGATCTGTACGTGTTCGGTGCCTCCTGGGATGACCAGACAGCAAGTGTGAAAAATCGGGATGGGGTGGGGGGGTAATAGGAGCCTATATAAGAAAAAGACCCCAAAATTGGGACTGTCCCTATAAAATCGGGACATCTGGTCACCCTAGTGCCTCCTCCCCGTACAGCAGTCTCCAGCAAGAGATAGGGAAATCCCTGCCACCTCCGCACTGCCCCCCACGCCCCTGGCCAGGGAGAAGGGCATCCCTGCCACCCCCACCCAAGGGAAAAACGCACTCAGCACTCAGTCAGGCCAGGGGTGTCCCGCTGCCCCCGGGTGTGGAAGGAATGCCCTCTCCCCACCCCCAGGCAGGGTGCTGTCAGTTCCTCAGTGTACACATCGGTCAGTGTCGCTTCCGCAAGCTGCTGGTCACAGCCCTGCTGGGGCTGCGTGCGGTTTCACTTCTTGTTTCTGAGGAAAATCACTCCCGTCCTGGTTCCTGTGTGTCCAGGGTCATTTCCTCTGGCCAGCCGCGTTGACCTCTGACCCCGGCTTATGGGGACAGGAGTCACATTGCCCGCATTGGCCCCTGCTTGGCCCAGCCCGGGGCACTATGGGAGGGCGGCTTAGATTTTCCCAGAATGCACTGGGCAGCTGGGCAGATGCAGGCAGCGCATCACACTGGTCACGTGGCTGCACCGGGATGCTGAAAGAGCTGAACCCTGTAACTGTGTCATAGCTTCACCTCCCCTGGGTCTATCTGGCAGAGATGGGATCCAAGCACATCTGTGGTGGGGAGATCAGAAAGGAGGGACCAAGAAGCTCTCAAAATACCCCAGAGGCTTTGCAGCCAAGACGCACAGTGTGCTGCGGGGGTTAATGGCACTGCCTGCTTAATGCAGCCCCCAGTCTCATTCAAGGGAATGGGGCCTGGGAAGCTCCCTTGTTCTCCCCCACAGGCTGCATCTCGGCTCAGTGGCTGGGGATTTCCACAGCATCTCGGGGTGGGCTTGTAGGAAGCCGTGGGAAGGTCTGCTCCAAAGGTCATCAGGAAGCAGAAGGGGGCGGAGGAGGAGGAAGATGAAAGGAACAAACAGCATTTACAACAAACAAAACCCAAGAGTGACTGTAGCAGCCCGGAAAAATGCGCGAGAGCATCAGACCTCTTCCGGCACAGGTTTGGAAGAGGGCTCAGGGAAGCTTTGGGGTCACCTAAGCATGCTGGCGTGTGCCGCGGTCCGGCAGAGGCTGGATCTCGCTGGCAGTGTCTCTCTCTCTCTCTGGCTCTGCCTCTCTCCTGGCAGGATGTGGTCTGTATCATGCAGGTCAGAAAAATAAACAGCAAATCTCTGTGCAGCACGTTAGAACAAGCCTACTCCCCAGCCCTGTCCTGGAGCTGCGCAGCTGGCACAGAGGAGAATCACACCTGCTCTCTGCAGGCTGGCCTGCCCCATGTGGTGCTTGCAGCAGCTGACGCAAACATGGAATGCTTGTCAAATGCGTTGAGCTAGATCCTCAGCTGGTGTAAACAGGCACTGCTCCATGGAAGTCCATGCTGAGGAGCTGTCTCTTTATGCCCAGGAGTTTTCCACAGTCTGTTACCCTAACTGCGCATGAGGCTTGTCACCACTCAGCCCACACTGGTTCAGCGTGAATCCTCACCATGCTAGTGTAGACTGGAAACGCAGGAGGTGCGGTTCCTCCTCCCAGCACAATCCCACAGGGCTCCAGCCCACCTTTCAGTGAGCAGTCTGGACGACGGTCCCTTACACTCTCTGTCCCGTGGGGCAGCTGTCTGGAAAGTCCCTTACCTTCATGCTCAGTGCCGGTCATTGTAGCAAGCATTCCGCCTGTGAGATCAATGTGTGCCTGTGCAAACTACCAGCTCAGAGGAGATGAAACAGAAAGGACAAAGGTGAGGAGAGCTAGAGGCTAAGAAGGGACTGGGCCTCTCTCCCCTAGAGCCTACCTCTCCAGGTCAGGGCTGGAGCAGCTGGAATTTGCACTGGTAAGGCAGGCTCCCTGTGCCAGGCCCATTCCAGGGTTGAACAGTGACCGTTGATACCCAGGATGGCGGTCCAGTGGGAAACTCCTTAGTGGAGAGGAGGAAGAAAGGGGACAAGTGGAAACGCCAGCAGACAGAATAGTGACCAACTCAGGAGCTGTTTTGAGGCTTTCAATGGGTGGCCCCAACAGCCGAGTGAGGGACTGTTGGCTCAGAGGGCCAGTTCTGCCCTTGGTTGATTGCCCTGGGGCTCCAGATGGCAGGCCGCAGTGCTGAGTGTATGCCCAGCCCCATTACAAGCATGAACATCTCTCTCTTTCTGGTGCATGTAGTTGAAGCTGCTGGTCAGAACAGCCCTCAGAGCTTGACTTTCTCTCACCTTTTTGGTCTCTTTCCAGGTTCCTGGCCAATGGAGCGTTTCGTTGAGCAGTTTCGGCTTGGATCCCCTGTGGCTTCGACCCAGTTCCTCACTCAACATCACAGTGACTAGAGGCGGCGGCGCCGTCTGAGGCCAGCCCCAGAACTTCCCCTCAGATGAGCATCGCTCCTCTTGGCTTTGCGTTGTTTGCATTTCCCCGTCGGATCACGAGGCTCTGCAAATGTCGCACTCAGCCTCTGCCCTCTAGAAAGTGAATTGCTACAAATGCTTATGCCCATTCCGTTATTTCCTCATCTGCTTCCATTCAGTACCCTGGTCACTGCTAGGGCCAGCCCGGCACCATCCACTGGAGCAAGTCATAGTTCCACCAGTCTGCACAGTGCTCAGCTTTTGACCCTGGTCAACGCCACCATAGAGAATCAGCCCCCCACACACACCCTTTCACCTGCCTGCACTGCAGCTAGAGCCCTGCTGTTTTTTCTAGCCCCCCTGCAGAGGTGACATGTGGTATTTTGCACTTCCGGAAGCTGTCTTGGAGCCTGATTTATCCCTCCAGTGATGCAGGTGCCAGCACAGGGCCCTGAGGAAGCTGCTTTCGCCTTCCCTATTCAGGGGCTGCAGGGGCCAGTGCAACCTTGGGCTCGAGGGTATTGCCTGGGGAGTGATGCCTGCCCTCTCGCCCCTTTGCACCAGCCTTGCCTTCGACATGCTAAGACTGTCCTCACCCATGTAGCTAGAAACCCACCCCAAAAATCCAGCTGGGATTTTCTCAGCTAGGGTATGTCCCTCTGGTTTCAGCCTGGTGTAAAGTTCCACAGTTGGCTTGCACAGCAGCAGCCGCCAAAGCTGCCATTCTGGCAGTGCCGCAGGTATTAGGGAGAGATGCTGAGTCTCTTGAAGAGACCAATGGCCTTCAGTCTGGTCCCTCGGTGGCAGTGAGCAGAGAGAGGGTCATCAGCTTGGAGAACCAGATTCTGATCTCACTTGCAGCCATCTAAGGCAGGAGTGGACCCAGTCAAACCAATGGAATTACACCAGTGTGAGTGAGAGCAGAATCGAGCACAGCCCCCCAGTGCCGCCCAGAGGATTCAGGGGGCCTGGGGCAAAGCAAGGGAGCTGCGGCACTTGTACTCACCAGGTGGCGGTCCGGGTCTTTGGCGGCATTTCGGCTGCGGGGGGCCCTTCAGTCACTCCACGTCTTCGGCAACACTGAAGGGCCCCCTGCCACCGAAGACCCGGACCGCCGCCGGGCCAGGGCTCACGGGGCCCCTGCAGGGCCCGGGGCAAATTGCCCCACTTGCCCCCCCTCCCCCCGGGCGGCCCTGCATGCCTCCCCCTCCGCCCCCCCGGGCCGTAGCAGGAGCCTTTCCAATGGCTGTACTGAAGACAGGCCTTCGCAGTGACCATCCAGATTTAACCCTTCCTCGAGTCCCATGCTCCGTGGTCACCCCCCGCTTCCCCAAGCAAGCGTCGTGAACTCGGCACAGCTGTGTACCAGATGTTGTGTCTAGTACCGAAGTGACAAAGAAATGGTCAGAGCTGGGTCCCCCTGGCTTTGTCACTGACAGGCTCTAAGCTGTGTGGTTTGGGAATCCCACTGGGACATAGTAGCCGAATCCTGCCCTCCAACTTGTTTCTTCCTTTCTGGCCTAGCCTCAGTGTAGCATTTCCTGCCTCTGTGTGTGGGAGTGGGGTTTTCATTTGTTTTTGTTTTGTCTGTGCTTTTTTTTCTTTAATACCTGTTCCTTATTGCAGCAATCAGAATAAAACGTGCCATTGAACATGGTTTGCGTTAACATTTACCCTGTGGGGTCTCTTTCCCACAGGATCCGCCTGTGCATTTCTAAAGCAGCCAGCACTCTAGTATTTAGGCACCAACATAGGCTCAGCACTCAGTTGTGTCGGAGGGAGTGTGGTCTAGTGGTTGGAGCTGCAGGTAGGAATTGGCTGTCCTGGGTTCTATTCCTAGCTCCAAGAGGGAGCGTGAGGTAGTGATTAGAGCTGGCGATAGGAATCAGGACTCTTGGGTTCTACTCCCTTCTCCACCACTGACTCACGCTCTGCATGACTCTGTTTGCCTCTCTGCACCTCAGTGTCCCCATCTGAAAAAATTAAGGCTAGTGATGCTGACCTACCACCCAAGGAGGTCATGGAGCTTAGCTAGGTTGTAAAGCAATTGGAGAACCTCCTATGAAAGACAGGATTACTCCCGGGGTGTTTTCACAACTATGGGCTGGGTTTAGGGTGACCAGATGTCCCGATTTTATAGGGACAGTCCCGATTTTTGGGTCTTTTTCTTATATAGGCTCCTATTACCTCCCACCCCCGGTCCCGATTTTTCACATTTGCTGTCTGGTCACCCTAGCTGGGTTGGAGGGAAATGCCCTTGAGTTCAGGGCAGGTATAAAAAGGCAGTGATGAGATTAGCAGACAGATTTGCAAGAGAGCTCAGCATGTCAGGTACACGTTGGATGCTGAGCTCTGTTGAAACTCTGGCCCTTATGTAGGAGCCTAAATGAGAGCTGAGATTTACTGCAAACCTGGTTCCAATAGTGGGCGCTGAGCACTTGGAAATCTCTGTTGAATATCTGATCCATAATAGCACATACAGTGCTCTACATTGCCAAAGCATCATGCACACATGTACTAGGCTACAGAATAATCTCCCAGGAGAAATACTGGGGGGCCCATCGCTTGGCTCCAGAGAATGCAGAGCAGGGAACAAGCCGCACCAGGCCCCACAGTGGGGATGAACAAGTTGTGACCTCACGGGTCTTTTTCCATCTCTGATTCCATGATGATTCTGCAGCTCTGATCCAATCTCCTCTAGCTTCAAAGGGGAACATGCAGTGCTAACACTTTCACTTCCTACTGTCTCCCAGGCTAGCCATCCGTAGCAGCTGTAATCTGAACCCACAACCACCTCAATCAGAGTCCACCTCACCAGACACAAACATCCCCACAGGCTCCTTCCTCTGTGCTCCTCTGAGGTGCTGTGTCATCCCTGGCTCCCTTTCCCCTGAGGCTACTCTGCTGCCCTGTGCTCCGGCATGCACCCTGAGCATGTACCACACGCTCATTTGCTCACCACCTAGAATAGAATTTGGTTTCATGGACCAAGGTGCCTTTTGGAGTTTAGGTGATGGGGTGAGCTAAATGCTGGGGTGCGTTGACTGTGCAGGCCAACCCAGCAATGACACACCCGGCAATAGCTGATGCTCAAGGTATCAGAACCTGGGTGAGTCTGACTCAGTGCTACTGCCAGGAAGGAAGTGGATAGGTCACAGAGGCCATGTCTTGCTCTTTTCACAGTGCCCGTGGGCTCTTAAGCCTCCATTCGGGGAGCCTGCAAAGAGGAGCTTGGGAGACAGCTGAAGGACAGCCCCTGGCGCAGGGCAGCACCCCCACCACAACAGCTTCATGGAGTCAGAACAGAGGGTTAGCGCTAGTTCTGGTGCAGTCCTTGAATCCCTGCTCCCAAGACAGTGACAATGCCACCCATCGTGCCACCGTGCTGTCTGCTTGGCTTGCGGTTCATTGACTCCATCTACCGCCGCTCGGTGATCCCACCACCAGGTTATTCAGCAAGTCCCAGTGCCGAGAGGACACAGCCTGTGCAGGGCCCCAGGAAACCCTGGGCCTTAGATAAAGGAAAGTCTTGAGTGATATCAATCACCGTATCTGCCATAAGGGGCCTGCCTACTTCTCTGCTGGCTCTTGGAGGTAACCTTGAATTCTCCTTTCTGGAGAGCAGAAAAACCAGGTCCTGGAATGGCAGAGGTGGCTGACTGAAGAAGGGGAAGAGTTTAAAGTGAACAAGGACCATAAATAAGATGATGCAGAGGAGAGGGACATCAGATGCTCCCACAGTGCGAGGAGATCTGTCGGTCCATAGAGAAACCAGCTGTCATCAGAGATGTGTGTGAATGAAACATGCTTCCATCAGATCATCCTCACCACTGAACATCCCAAGACATCAAATCTGACATCTCCACCTTGGCCTGCAAGAGCGTCTTTCTTGGCAGGACCCACTTCCACACCAGTTATGTGGCAGACCCAAAGCTGGTCTGGATTCCAGTTTCCAGGCTCCATAACCACCTGATTATTTTTTGACATTACTAGACTTGCTTTCAGTATAACTCTGTTTTGTGTGGTTGCAAATGTCAGCTTTTTGGTCCCAGGAAAGCCACAAGACGTGTTTTCTTTCCTCTCAGGCGTAGTTTCACTCTTCAGCTGAAGTTGTGAAATTATTAAGGGTTGTGTCTAGGGCAGAGAGCCAGAGCAGGGAAGTTGTGCACCCACGTCAAACCGAACTCAGAGCCATTCACCTGGGGCAGCGCTGGCATGAGGAAAACATCTGCCACATGGTCTCCAGCTGCAGCTGGAGGGGAGGTTTTCTGTCACAACAGTGTCCTTGCAATCAGTAGTGCAGAGCAGGAGTGCTGCCACGTAAGAACTCTGTCGATTGGCATCTAGCAGGACAGATGTGCACAACCTTGAGACTGTGAGCTCTTTTGGGCAGGAGGTGTCTTTTGCTGTACATCAGCACAAGGCCCAGCACGAGGGGGCACCGATCTCAGCTGGGGCCTCAAGACACTGCTGTAAAACACATAACACAATCACATTTGCCCCCCTTCCTGCTGGCCTCATAAAGACTCAACCTCTGACGTTCTGCTTGTCAGGTTTAAAGCACCTTGGTGGGGCAGCAAGGGGGACCCTTGCCCGGCCACACTCGGGTTATGTGGACACTGCTATCACAGGGGGCAATTGCAGATCCACCCAACTAGCTTTCATCTGGCTAGCTCAGGTGCCGGAGCCCTGAAGCCGCTGGAGCATGTGCTTCAGTGCCGGCTAGCCCTGCAAGTAATTACCAGGGTTCCAGGTGGGCCTGTACAACCTGTGCTGGAATCCACACTGCTGCGGCTTCCTGGCTCCAGGACCCAAGCTAGCTAGATGAAAGCTAGCTCAGGTATGTCTACATCCCTGCATCACACCCTGGGCTAGGAGCACAGACGTACCCTCTGTGCTGCACCCTGCACGTGCCTTTGCTCTCCGCGCCTCTTCGTCTGGCACCAGCGCTAGGCTTTCTTTACAAGGAAAACTGAAATTAAAGCAATAAATTAGAATGGCTGCACCCACTGGCCACTTAGCCCACTTCCCCTTTAATCATCCCTTTAATTAATTAGTCTTTCATGTGAGACTTCCCTTTATTTAAGGCCCAGATTTCCCTCTCTCCTGGGTCCCTTCCCTTGCATCATCTCTTTGGCAATCTTTGTAGTAATAATTTAGAAATGTGTCATGATAAAATAATCAGCTGATCACACCGCCACCCTCCTCTGGCACCTTTCGTCACGGGATCACAACACGCTTTACTGTCATTAATCAACTGGGCCCCACAAGCTTCTTGCCACGTGAGAATCTATTATCCCCTACCCAGCCACTTTACAGATGGGGAAACTGAGGCACGGAATGGGGACGTGACTTGCCCAAGGTGGCACAACAAGGCAAGGGTAGAGCTAGAAATAGACTCTAGGGAGGAATTCTGGCCCCATGGGAATTAATGGCAAAACTCCCATTGACTTCAACAGGGCTAGGACTTCACCTCAGGTCTGCTAACTCCCAATCCCATGCTTTAGCCACTAGATTATCCCGGCCAGGCTCCTGGTCTTTTCCAAAGCTCTCATGCCAACATCCTGACTCTGCTCTGTTCAGTGCTGCCACGCTTGGCTCTGTGAACGTGTCTTAGAGTTGAGGGGGCCAATGCAAAGACAGCACAGTGTGACGGGTTCGGTCACAGAGACCCCCTTGGGACTGTCACCTGACGTGCTGAGATTACCTCTGAGCCCATTTTCCCTGCCATCTTGGGACTCCAGAACCCTGCCTTGTTAGTTCCAGCAGACATCTTAGGTGGAAACTAGGGGTTTTCTCATGACTGGCAGCCCCCTTTGTTCTGTTCCACCCCCTTTTACAGCTTTGGCACAAGGCGGGAATCTTTTGTCTCTCTGGGTCCCCACCCCGCCTTCTAAATGGAAAAGTACCAGATTTAAGATGGATTCCAGTATCGGGTGACATGATCACATGTCCGGTGAGACCC